CCTATTTGTTTCCAAATAGATTTCTTCCAAAACTCAGAATTCTTCTCAATTACCAAGTTGATTAAATGCTCTATAATTTCTTGGATAATCTTTAGGATCAAGTTTGCCTAGTGGTTGCTCGACACTATCAAAATTTCCTAGAGCGGAATTTTCTTTTTCGTTTCCAAGTAGATGTCTAATATAGCTTTTTTTTTTCTTAAATACTGACTGTATAAATGCTCTAGAATTCTTTTTAAATGGTAATCATGAAGATTTTCAAAAAAATTCTAGAGCATTTACAACGATAGTAAATCTTCTCTATATGTATTATCAAAAAAATAACAATTTGATTAAATGCTCTGAAATTTTTTGGATATATTTTAGGGTCATAGAGCGGACCTCTTTTCGAAAGAAATCTTGGATGAACTTCAAGATATTTCACTGATATTCTGTTTAGAAATGTTTTTTTTCGTTTTGAAGTGGATTTTTGGTATCAATAAAAATTTTTCTCAAATACTGATCGTGTAAATAAATGCTCTAGAATTTTTTCCAAAATCTTTGTAACCATTTGTTTTATAGTGGATCTTCTCTAAAATATCGACATCGACGACCGCAAAGATTTTTTAAGAAATTCTAGAGCATTTACAATGATAGTGAAACTTATCTATAATTCGAGGATCTTGTTTAAAGAAATAACTTTCCTATTTGTTTCCAAATAGACTTCTTCCAAAACTCAGAATTCTTGTCAATTACCAATTTGATCAAATACTCTAGAATTTCTTCGATAATCTTTAGAATCAGGTTTGCCTAGTAGTTTCTCGGCACTATCAAAATTTCCTAGAGCGGACTTTTCTTTTTCGTTTGCAAGTAGATGTCTAGTATAGCTTTTTTTTTCTCTGAAATACTGACTGTATAAATGTTCTAGAATTCTTTTTAAATGGTAATCATGAAGATTTTCAAAAAAATTCTAGAGCATTTACAACGATAGTAAATCTTCTCTATATGTACTATCAAAAAAATAACAATTTCATTAAATGCTCTGGAATTTTTTGGATATTTTTTAGGATCATAGAGCGGACTTCTTTTCGAAAGAAGTCTTGGATGAACTTCAAGATATTTCACTGATATTCTGTTTAGAAATGTTTTTTTTTCGTTTTCAAGTTAATTTTTGGTATAAATACAAATTTTTCTCAAATACTGATAGTGTAAATAAATGCTCTAGAATTGTTTCCAAAATCTTTGTAACCATTTGTTTTATAGTGGATCTTCTCTAAAATATCGACATAGATGACCACAAAGATTATTTAAGTAATTCTAGAGCATTTACAATGATAGTGGATCTTCTCTATAATTCGATGATCTTGTTTCAAGAAATGATTTTCCTATTTGTTTCCTATTTGTCTCCAAATAGACTTCTTCCAAAACTCAGAATTCTTCTCAATTACCAAGTAGATCAAATGCTCTAGAATTTCTTCGATAATCATTAGGATCAGGTTTGCCTAGTAGTTGCTCGACACTATCAAAATTTCCTAGAGTAGACTTTTCTTTTTCTCCTTCAAATAGATGTCTAGTAGAGCTTAATTTTTTCTCAAATACTGATTGTGTAAATGCTCTAGAATTTTTTTTTAATTGTAATCACGAACATTAAAAAAAAATTAGAACATTTACGACAGTGAATCTTCTCTATACATATGTACTATCAAAAAAATAACAATTTGATTTAATGCTCTGGAATTTTTTGGATATTTTTTAGGATCATAGAGCGCACTTCTTTTTGAAGGAAATCCTGATTGAACTTCAAGATATTTCACTGCTATTCAATTTAGAAATGTTTTCTTTTTCGTTTTCAAGTAGATTTTTAGTATAAATAAAAAATGTTCTCAAATACTGATCGTGTAAATAAATGCTCTAGAATTTTTTCGGAAATCTTTGTAATCATTTTTTTATAGTGAATCTTCTCTAAAATATCGAAATAGACGACCACAAAGATTTTTTAAGAAATTCTAGAGCATTTACAATGATAGTGGATCTTCTCTATACTATCAAAATTTCCTAAGACAAATGTCCTTCAAATTAAAAAAAATAATATACCTGCAAATGATTCGCTGATCTTTTAAGAAATGATTTTCTCATTTGTTTCCAAATAGATTTCTTCCACAACTCAGAACTCTTCTCAATTACCAATTTGATCAAATGCTCTAGAATTCTCTAGAAATCTTTAGGATCAGGTTTGCCTAGTAGTTGCGAGCAAAATTTCCTAGAGTAGACCTTTCTTTTTCTCCTCCAAGTACATGTCTAATAGAGCTTAATTTTTTCTCAAATCATGATTTTGTAAATGCTCTAGATTTTTTTTTAAATTGTAATCATGAACATTTTCAAAAAAATTTAGAGCATTTTTAACGTTAGTGAATCTTCTCTATATGTACTATCAAAAAAATTACAATTTTATTAAATGCTCTCGAATTTTTTGGATATTTTTTAGGATCATAGAGCGGACTTATTTTCGAAGGAACTCTTGGATGAACTTCAAGGTATTTCACTCATATTCAATTTAGAAATGTTTTTTTTTCGTTTTCAAGTGAATTTAAGGTATAAATAAAAATTGTTCCCAATTACTGATCGTGTAAATAAATGCTCTAGCATTTTTTCCAAAATCTCTGTAATCATTTTTGTTATAGTGGATATTCTCTAAAATATCGACATAGACGACCACGAATATTTTTTAAGGAATTCTAGAGCATTTACAATGATAGTGGAACTTCTCTATACTATCAAAATTTCCTAAGACGAATGTCCTTCAAATTAAAAAAATAATAGACCTACAAATAATTCGATGATCTTCTTTCAAAAAATGATTTTCCTATTTGTTTCCAAATATATTTCTTCCAAAACTCAGAATTCTTCTCAATTACCAATTTGATCAAATGCTCTAGAATTTCTAGAATAATCTTTAAGATCAGGTTTACCTAGTGGTTGCTCGACACCACCAAATTTTCTGGAGCGGAATTTTCTTTTTCGTTTTCAAGTAGATTTCTAGTGGAGCTTAAAATTTTTCTCACATACTGATTTTGTAAACGCTCTAGAATTTTTTTGAAAAGCGTTGTAATTATTTTTTATAGTGGATATTCTCAAAAAGATCAAAAGTGATGATCATAAAGATTTTCAAAAAAATTCTAGACATTTACAATAATAATGAATCTTCTCTGTACTATCAAAATTCCATAAGACAAACGTTTTTCAAAAGAACAAAAAATGGATTTCCCAAAAATTCGATGATCTTGATTAAATATATTTTTGCGCGAATCTTTTCGATAATGACTAGAAAAACTTTCGAAAAAATTCTAGAGCATTTAGTATGATCGTGAATCTTTTCTATAGTTTCAAAATTTCCCAAGGCAAACAGATTCCATCTTAAACTAAAAATTCTTCTGAAATACCAATTTGTTTAAATGCTCTAGAAATTTCCTAGAGCGGATTTCTTTTCGAAAAAATCTGGATATTTCGCTGATATCCTTTCTAGGAATTTTTTTCTTCTTTTTCCAAATAGACTTCTCGTAGAACTTAGAATTCTTCTCAAGCATCAAGTTGTTTAAAAGCTCTAGAATTTCTTGGAAAATTTTTAGAGTCATATTTGTCTAATAGTTACTCCACATTATCAAAATTACACAGATTCTTATTTTCGAAAATTTGTGAACTTAGTTCGCTGATATTCTCTTTAGTTTGCTTAATCTAGGATCTTTCTAACTTTACAGCTTTTTATATTTCTTAAAAATCGAAGTTTTCGTTGCTAGATAATATTTTTTCGAAGTGTTTCCAAAGTGTAAAGTGCAAGTGCAAGCAATATTTGCCTTGAATTTAGCACCCAACACTTTAAAATGATAAACCGCAGTGCATTTTGTAAAGAATATGCTCTTATCCTATCTAGTCGAATACATAATTTTGTTCCAATTTTTTGTAATTTATCACTTCCTGTTGGCACAATCGCTCAATTGCTCTCACTTAAAACTAATCAAATGGAAACATTGTCATTTATTCTGCGTTCATGATGCAGAAACACGCATTCAGGCCTAACAATGGATAAATAGCTAAAACTGCACATACGTGAAGATGTGTCGATTACCATGTCGAGAACTTGACTTTACTCTGAAAGCGTCTATACAAAATTTTCTAACGAAACGAAACAATTAAATCAGCTGCACATCGCCCTCAACTTTTCGTAAAAAATAATGCAATTATCCCAGCACTTCTCACTTTCCGACACCTCTCTGCGGAACTACACTATGGAATTTTGCACTTAACACAATAACAAGTAATAACTTCGTTACATCCTCGCAATACCAAACTTTAATATATAAAATTAGGTAACCCTATAAAGGTTTAATGGTACAACAACTCGATAAAGTTGGTGTTGTAAAGCCTGACTTTACAACTAGGATAATTCCCATCCTGCAACTGCCGATCCAAACTTGTTCAATTAAACGTATTACGAATTTTGTCGACATGTTACAATACGTATTGTCGTCGATGTGTTAATTTCGGCGAACAGGAAGTTTCCACAATGAACCGTTGCAGGCGCACTTTTCAATCGATTAAATTTGTACAAACCGATGAGGATCCCCGATCCCGAAAACGCCGAGCGGAAATTCGTCATTTTATTCCTTGTAATAAGCAGCAACCCCTTCCTGCAACCAGGTTCGCCGAATTCGCCCCTAATGAATGAAAGTGTCGCGTTGTATTCTTTATTACCCCTCGAACGTCTTACTAAAGTACGTGTCCACTAACAACCCCATTCAGAGCAGGATCGCGCTCCCGGAGGCATAAAACTGTTTCGCATTCTTGCTGATGAAACTACAAGAGTTTTTACATCATTACCAAGCTCACTCGAGAACACACAAAGCACTTGTTGTTACACCCTTCGACTTATCTTGTCCTTCTAACCCCGTTTTTACTCTTGCTATTGTTGGTGGTCATTGACGTCGTAATCAGCTACTCAGATCACCCCAATTTGGACACTGTTGCAGATGTCTTCGCTCTGAAGGACGTCGTTTTAACTATCAGGCCACAGATAGTGGAGAGGTCGGGTTATGCCACCCTGATGTGCTCCTACGATCTGGAAGGGGCGAGCTTGTACTACGTCAAGTGGTACAGGGGGAAATACGAATTTTATAGATACACGCCGAGCGAGAAGACAAAGACGAAGCTCTTCCCGCTGGGAGGGATCAATGTTAATGTAAGTAATAGCATGAATAACTCTGAACACTCTGTAGATACATATATGAGGCGCAGGAGAATTTTAGGTTAAGGCAATTTTCCTAATAGCAAATTATAACCGTTACTATATATTACATTAAATATCTCAAAATTTGTTCTCCCCTAGTTACATTATTTGAAACATAAAAAGGCCACAGAAGCAACTAAGATTTTTGGTATAGAAACGCGGACTCGCGTCTGGATATTTTCGCTACTATTTCCTTATAAGGTCAGGTCAGATCAAGTTAGTTACATCTAAAACACAAGCTAAGCCCTTCCAGACATTGGTAGCGCCACCTTATGGCCAAATATTTAGAAGAATTCTAAGATTAGCAAAAATGGAAAATTTTAGTCACAATTGTACGATTTCTAGTTTTCAAACGAATAGTTATATGATGGAGGTTCTAGTCCATTTTAACTTCAATTGACCTGGTTTATAACCGCGATGCCCGCTCTAGCTCACTTTGATCTCATTTGATCTGGACCAGAATCGGCATCACTTTTCCCCGATGGCTAAGCGCCGGTTGTAGACCAAGTCACCAGACCCCAAGTGTCGATAAAAACTAAAATGAGCTAGAACCCCCATCATCTAACTACTCATACGTTTTCCAAATGTTTTGCTAGTGCATTTGGTGACCACAAACAAGGATTAATCTAAATATAGTGCTAGTTGAAAAAATCTTGTACACTCAGAGTAACAAATTTCTCTATAAAAAAAAGCTTTCAGGGAATTGGGATTTTATAATTTTACAATACCCTCATTTTCTCCCACAATAGTATCAGTAAGTCCATAGATCCATTTTTTTGTAATTTTTTCTGTTTTCTCTGCCAAAATTTGATAACGTTATTTGTGCTTTTGGTGTGTAATTTAAATTCAAAATGTGTAAAATAATACGCTTTCTACCTATCCTCGATTTTTTCTTCTTTTAATTATACGTAATTGCAAAATCTATCTTTGTCTACAAAAATTTACCATGTTGTAAGTTTCTTGTGAAAAGATGACTACATATTTTAAGAAAAGGAGGCAAAATATAAGCCCCGCCCACCCGCCCTGTCTCAAATGTGATGATTTTTTTATTCGTCTTGAGCCAAGAGGGCGGAGATTAATTGCAAAATCCTTATTTTTCTATCAGAAATTGATGTGAAACATGTTCTTGAGTAACCAAAATGTTTAAAGTAAGAAAGGAAGCCAAGAGATAAGCCCCACCTATCCATCTCGATCTCAATCTGGGTCTAAATTTTACAATGTATTCTTTGAATAATACAATTTTCAAAAACATATCCTACATGGTAATATCTTGTAGAGAAACAGGGATTTTGCAGTTAAGCTCCGCCCTCTTGTCTGACGACGAATAAAATAAAATCATTGCAATTGAGACAGGGAGGGTGGGCGGGGCTTATATTCAGCCTTTCCTTCTTAATATACGTAGTCATCATTAAAAACTTAAAAACATGTTTAAATTGGAAATTTTTTCTAGGGAAATACGAATTTTGCAGTTGCGCCCTTGCCCCTCGGTCGGAAAACGAATGAAAAATTCATCGCGAGATTAAGCTCACCGATACCTGCCCTGACCTTAATGGTGATGAAGTTTTCATTCGTTGTCAGATCAAAGGGCGGAGCGTAATTGCAAAATCTATATTTCCCTGCAGAAATTTATCGTTGTAAACATGTTTTAAATTTCTTGTTTGAGAAGATGACTACGTAGATTAAGAAAAGGCGGCAAAATATAAACCCCGCCCACCCGCCCTAACCTAAACGTGATGATTTTTTTTATTTGTCTTAAGCCAAGAGGGCGGAGCTTAATTGCAAAATCCTTATTTCTCTGCGAGAAATTGCTATGTGAAACATGGTCTTGCGTTATTGTGCTGTTCGAAGAAAACTATATGTTTTAAGTAAGAAAGGAAGCCAAAAGATAAGCCCCACCCATTCATCTCGATCTCAATCTCGATCTCAGTGTGGCTCTAAATTTTACATAATATACATTGTATTCTTTGAATAATACAATTTTCAAAAACATATCCTACATGGTAATACCTTGTAGAGAAACAGGGATTTTGCAGTTAAGCTCCGCCCTCTTGTCTGACGACGAATAAAATAAAATCATTACAATTGAGACAGGGAGGGTGGGCGGGGCTTATATTCAGCCTTTCTTTCTTAATACACGTAGTCATCATTAAAAACTTAAAAACATGTTTAAATTGGAAAATCTTTCTAGGGAACTACGAATTTTGCAGTTGCGCCCTTCCCCTCCGGTCGGAAAACCAATGAAAAATTCATTACGAAATTAAGCCCACCGATACCTGCCCTGACCTTGATGGTGATGAAGTTTTCATTCGTTGTCAGATCAAGGGGTGGAGCGTAATTGCAAAATCTATATTTCCCTACAAAAATTTACCATTGCAAACATGTTTTAAGCTTCTTGTTCTGAAAAGATGACTACGTAGATTAAGAAAAGGCGGCAAAATATAATCCCTGCCCACCCGCCCTATCCCAAACGTGATGATTTTTTTTATTCGTCTTGAGCCAAGAGGGCGGAGCTTAATTGCAAAATCCTTATTTCTTTGCGAGAAATTGCTATGTGAAACATGTTCTTGCGTAATTGTGTTGTTCGAAGAGAACTATATGTTTTAAGTAAGAAAGGAAACCAAAAGATAAGTCCCAGCCATCCATCTCGATCTCAATCTCGATTTCAATCTGACTCTAAATTTTACATAATATACATTGTATTCTTTGAACAATACAATACTCAAAAACATATCCTACATGGCAATCCCTTGTAGAGAACTAAGGATTTTGCAGTTAAGCTCCGCCCTCTTGGCTGACGACGAAAAAAATAAAATCATCACAGTTGAGACAGGGTGGGTGGGCGGGGCTTATATTTTGCTTTTCCTTCTTAATATATGTAGTCATCATCAAAAACTTAAAACATGTTTAAATTGGAAAATCTTTCTAGGGAAATACGAATTTTGCAGTTGCGCCCTTCCCCTTCGGTAGGAAAACCAATGAAAAATTCATTACGAAATTAAGCCCACCGATACCTGCCCTGACCTTCATGGTGATGAAGTTGTCAGTCGTTGTCAGATCAAGGGGCGGAGCGTAATTGCAAAATCTATATTTCCCTACAAAAATTTACCATTGCAAACATGTTTTAAGCTTCTTGTTCTGAAAAGATGACTACGTAGATTAAGAAAAGGCGGCAAAATATAAACTCCGCCCACCCGCCCTATCCCAAAGGTGATGATTTTTTTTATTCGTCTTGCGCCAAGAGGGCGGAGCTTACTTGTAAAATCCTAATTTTTCTGGGAGAAATTGGTATCTGAAACATGTTCTTGAGCAATTGTGTTGTTCGAAGAAAACTATGTTTTAAGTAAGAAAGGCAGCCAAAAGATAAGCCCCACCCATCCATCTCGATCTCAATCTCGACCTCAATCTGGCTCTAAATTTTACATAATATACATTGTATTCTTTGAACAATACAATTTTCAAAAACATATCCTACATGGTAATACCTTGTAGAGAAATAAGGATTTTGCAGTTAAGCTCCGCCCTCTTGGCTGACGATGAATAAAGTAAAATCATCACAATTGAGACAGGGTGGGTGGGCGGGGCTTATATTTTGCCTTTTATTGTTAATATATGTAGTCATCGTCAAAAACTTAAAACATGTTTAAATTGGAAAATTTTTGTAGGGAAATACGAATTTTGCAGTTATGCCTTGCCCCTCCGTCTGAAAACGAATGAAAAATTCATCACGAAATTAAGCCCACCGATACCTGTCCTGACCTTAATGGTGATGAAGTTTTCATTCGTTGTCAAACCGAGGGGCGGAGCGTGTATATAAAATCCGTATCTCTCTACAAAAATTTACCATTTTAAACATGTTTAAAGTTTCCTGTTATGGAAAGATGACTAAATATTTTAAGAAAAATAGCAAAATATAAGCCCCGCCCACCCCCCTATCTCAATCGTTATGACTATTTTTATCCGTTGTAAGCCGAGGGGCTGAGCTTACTTGCAAAATCCTTATTTTTCTACGAGAAATTGCTATGTGAAACATGTTCTTCAGCAGTCGTGTTATTCAAAACAACTGTATATTTTAAGTAAAAAAAAAAACGAAAGATAAGCTCCTCCTATCCGTCCCGATCTTAACCTGGCTTTAATTTTTACTTAGTATACATAGTATTCTTTGAACAACACGATACTTAAAAACGTGTCTTGCATGGTAATTTTTTGTAGAGAAATAAGGATTTTCCAATTAAGCTCCGCTCTCTTGGCTCACGATGAATAAAAAAAATCATCACAATTGAGATAGGGTGGGTGGGCGGGGCTTATATTTTGCCTTTTTTTTTAATACACACAATCATCAAGGACTCAAAATATGTTTAAAATGGTAAAATTTGTAGGTAAATACGAATTTTGCAACTACGCTTCGCTCCTTGGTCTGGCGACGAATGACAAATTCATCACCAGATTACGCCCTACCCATACCTTCCCGAACCTCAATAGTGATGAAGTTGTCATTCGTTGTCAAACCGAGGGGCGGAGCGTAATTACATATTACAAAATCCATATTTCCCTACAAAAATTTACCTTTTCAAACATGTTTTAAGTTTCTTGTTGTGAACACAAGACTACGTATTTTAAGGAAAAATAGCAAAATATATAAGCCCCGCCCACCCGCCCTATCTCAAATGTTACGATTTTTGTATTCGTTTTGAGTCAAAGGGGCGGAGCTTAATTACAAAATCCTTATATTTCGACGAGAAATTGCTGTATGAATTATGTTTGTGCGTAATCGTGTTGTTTAAAGCCAACTATATGTTTTAAGTAAAAAAGAAAACCAAAAGATACAACGCCATGTTCAAAAATATGTTTTACATGGTAATTTCTAACTTTCACACTTGTAGTTATATGATGGGGTTTTTGTCCACTTTGATCTCAGTTGACCCGGTCTAGAATCGGCATTACTTTTCTCGGATGGATAGTTATAGGCCAAGCCACCAGACCCCTAGTGTCGGCAGAAAGTAAACTAAAGCGGGTAACGCGTCCTGAAGACAATTGATAATGTTTTTGTCACACGACTAGTTATATCATGGGGATTCTAGCCCACTTTGACCTGACTTGACTTGATCTTAACTTACCATTAGAACTAAAAACGGCAACACTTACCTCAAAACCCAGTATCCTATAAACCTAACCTTTGTATATCGTGCGTGCTTAAACACAATTTGTCCGTAAGAACGCGCGTAAACGCTGCCATTTCGGGTACTAATTTTCACTCTATGACCCGATTTTCCAACACAGATTAAATTTACGTATGACAGTCGTTCGCGAAGACACATATAAGCACCAAAATATCGGCAATCACGCCACTTTCCACCCTTGTGTTTCCAAAATCAGTATTCATTATCTTACAAACAAATCGCTTAGATACCCAGCAACGCAACAAATCGGATTTCTCGGCCTTGCTTACAAAGTAAGTAATGGCACGGCGATAAAAACGAAATAAATAAATAAAAACACTTTTAAAAGATTTTATCAAATGATCAATTGTATTGTCAAGAAGTTCTAAACTGTTTTTCAGGTGGACCGCTCCAACAGCACTCAAGTTGTTCTTACCGATATAGAGTTCCAACTTTCAGGAAACTTCAGTTGTGAAGTAACGACTGCAGACGAACCAGTTTCCACTGAAACGGCTGTACAGAACATGGTAGTCGTACGTGAGTGCTTTTTTAAATTGCTATTTTACTATCTACGATTAATTAGAGTGGACATGGAATAATTTGATAAATCGAAAATTGGATTAAATAAAGTTGCGAGTTATGTGATACAATATTCAATTAAACTTGCTAGATTTCGCAGTTAACTCGCAATTAAGTTGTTGTTTTTGATTTTTATTCGGTTGTTTTCATAATGTTCGCGATATTGGTTAATTTTGTAACAACCAGCTTTGGAATAATGGAAAATTGTTATCCGAGGTTGAATAACTTCGCAACATGAAATTTATTTTCGTTTGAATGCACCGTAAATATTTAGCGATACGGTTCAGTTTTCAACACATCGAAATTTTTTCTTATCGGTTTCAATAAATCGGCGAAAGTGACATAGAAATGTTTGAAACATATGTCAAAAGCAATTGTGTATCAAGCTACCCTTACATATGTGCTTTATTATCAAGAATTGAAACATCTTGTAGCCCGTAATAACAAGCCCGGACTCGAATACTCACATAACAAGCAATAAACAGTTCACTCGAACATGAAAACTTCTGTCAGTGTGAATCGATACTTCTAAAGCATCGTGTTTGACGTGAAGGATTTAAATTTTGCTGTGTTTAAACGACATGCACTTTATATCAATCTAAATTGAGGACACTAAGTCGACGAGAGATCGTTTGAATGCTAAACAAGCAGTTTAAGTTGGAGTCAACTTCGACAAAACGGAGCATAAATTAACAGACTTCTTCACGGAATAAACAAATTGGAAGAGGTCGGATGCTGGCCGAAAATAATCACAGTAGCTCGAATGGAATGTTTAGGCAAATACGAGAAATTCGTGGCTATATTTAACCGGAAGAAATCGATAGAGGAACTTCGGGCACTAATTTAATTTGTCTTAAGTGCAGTTCGAGTCACTAACTGGTGATTAAAATTTTGTGACACTGGCTATAGTGGATTTCATCGTCGGAGATCATTCACGTAATTGGCGAAAAGCAGCAGTACGGGGCCTTGCGAACACCCACTACAACGCTTTCCGAATTTGCTTAGTCTAGACAATCCGAAAGATGGATTGCACCGTTCGATTTCAATTTCTAGCCGAAATATGTCAAAGAAAGAACAAAAATAGACGAGAAATCTCGCACTATCGATGTACTTTTTCTACGCTGCTTCCTTTTCAATATCAATTGAAACAGACTTTCCGAACGTGAAAATCATGATTACTTTCATACGGACGTACTTTCAAGTCTCGAGTGTCTTGTTCCAAGCGACTTATCCATGCAAGCTGCATCCAAACATGATTACGTAGTACATGTATCGACACCCGGAGTCGATCCGGTCGGGAAATACTCCCCAGAAACCCAATCCGGTAAAAATCCGGGCGCTAAATTTTTTAATTCATTGATTCCGCGACATGAAAAAGCTCTAGAGGTCCTTGAAAGTTGCCGCCAGATGTGACATCTCCTATCGATAACCACTTAAGCGCATCATTGGTCTATTTTTACAATTTTTGTGTCAGTTTTACAAGATGGAAAGATAAACTTTCGAGGTTGTTGGAAATCTGCAACACCATCAATCATTCTCTTAAAAAGAGTTTCCGTGTTACGCTTAAACGACGTTATTAAAATTTTTTATCGGCGAACTTTGTTTATTCGCTGACTTTTGGCTTCATTAAAGAGCTGACTCACAACATTTTGCTGTTTTGATTAATCACTAACTGCACTTTACCCGCGGCTCCCGCACGACGCTCGCCAGCGCATGCGCAACAGCAGTGGTTCGAATGTGATCACAATCAAATTAACGAAATATTTGACCTGAAACAAGCTTTAATTCGATTACGGACAAAAGCTAAACGCCTGTTCGTTTTATTTTTAATGCGGAAGCTAATTTTGTTGTAAAATTCGAGTCACATTACAAAGCACAGTCCAATCAAATCTAATTTTGTCTCCATTTAAAGTGCTATTTAATTAAAAGCAAAAGCTAGGAAGCTTTTAAAACAGTCGAATGAATTCTTCCATGTCCACATCGTGTAAGCACCCCATGTCATAAATCTTTATTTTGAATACAGAGCTGCCCGAATCTCCCCCGACAATAAGCGTAGGGCGTGAACCCCTAGACTACGGAGACACCCTGCGTGCAAATTGCTCCTCGCCGCCCTCACGACCTGCCGCCAGGCTCAAGTTTATCCTAAACGAGTTACCGGTACGAATAAATATTTCAATTATTTTTTTCTTTAGCGCCTTTTCACCTTGACGCAAATCCACTTTCGCGGTGGAAATTTATCGAATAGATGTACTGGGGTTTCCCCGAAATGTTTGACGTCATCATTTTTTTAAATTGTCTAAAATAAAGAATTATATTCGGCTTTGTGATGCAAAATAGCTATTTTTCGGTCATAAATACCGCTGCATTTGTCCGGATAACTATTAAAAAATAAAGTGTTTAAATCAGGACTATTGTGCAAGTTTTATTCATGTTTCATTGTTATTACCTACAAACACTATTCCAAATTTGCATTTTCAGCGGTTCATTAACAAAAATATTCATCTGGTAGGAATATTTTGAATGTGATTTTCATTTCAGCTGGATGAAATAGTTCGGTAAATATTTTCAGGTTTGAAGTTTGCTCTGCATGTACTAATTTAAGATTCAAAAGTGACTTTAAATTGAAGATAAACTTGTTACAAGTCAAAGTCTCTCTAAACGGATGTATAAATAAACACCTGAAAATATAAAACCGACTGCGTAAGAATTTTGTATTTAAAGCAGTTTTTTATCTTGGACATGTGAGCTTCAATTTCAAGCTAAAAGCGTGCACAAAAAATTCATATTAAAGAATATTTTTATGTATTTCTTTACAAAAAAAGTAACAGAATAACGCTTTCAAATAAATATTAAGCCAATCCTTTATATGTTTTTAAATGTAACAAAAAACTTAGGTCGTTATGTTTTAACTAAACTGGAAAAGTAGTACAGAATTAAATTCTCTTCATTAATTGGAACTTTCGGCGAAAGCGAGCATGTGAAAAAAGAACAATTAACGATTAAGGGAACAATTCGCTCATAAACTTCGTTTGAAAGTAATCAAGTGATTTTGGGAGGAGTCGGTTGAAGAGATTTGCATTTGAATTAAATATTCGTCAGGTCATGAAGTTTTAAAGTAATAACTTCGTTTCGTTTGCAAATTTAAAATTTAACTACAACATTGATGAGAAAATTAACTCCTTGACTATTAATGTACTAATGTAAATGGAATTTTAAAGATGGAACAAAATAAACAAAGTTTTAAATTATTTAAACAATATTTTAGTAATTACTTTATTAAGTAGAGATACTTATATTATATTTCTTGTTCTAGAAACAAAATTTATATAAACAAATGTTGAAAAGTAGCCGCTAAAATAGATCAATTTGGACGCAAACTCGATTTTCGGCACTCAATAATTCAAGAGATAGCAGTTTTGGGAGAAAATTAACCCAAACAATCAATTCAGCCCTTAAAAATTCATGCGAACATTTATAACCAAAGCAATTTTTTTGAAAAGTCTGATGTGGAAAATGTGTATGAAATAGAATTTTAATACGAAATCCAGCTCTAATTTCGTTTGTTTGAAGTGATTTTCCAACATTGTTAGTGTTGTCTGCGAAATAAGTAATTAACAAGAAAAAAATTGTTAACGTTTTTTATTTGGAAGCAAACTGACAACAAACAAACAAACGAAATTTTTAATTAAAACAAAAAATCCGATTTACAGGGAAGTTGATTATCTGCACTAATTTATTTACTGGTTTGAAGTTCAAATATTGGCATCAGCAGCTTTCATTTTCTCGTGTATTAAAGTAAACTTTACAGTGTAAATATCTGCCTTAATTGTGTAGCGTAATGCAGTTATTATGGTACTAATTTGAGTAATGTAACGCTATATTCAAAATACTAATATAAAGAAGTGGTGACTAGATAGAAAGATCTTTTTAACGCTTAGATAGAATTAATTTTCATGTTTAAAGAAATTTCGAAATATCGTCAGGTCAGCTCAAGTCAGGTCAGATCACAACCAAAATTTAACTTTTAGTTGGTGTCTATTTTGGTGTTTTCTCGACGTTTCATGACTCCTAAGTATTTGTTCGCCTACAATAACGGGCGAGGGAAGTTCTATCTACATAATTTTAGACCAATTTTTATACAAAGTTGCTGATATTTCCCTACAGAATTCTGTTTTCGATTTTGAAACTTTTTGTTTGCATTATCCAATTATATTTGTGAGAATTTAACCGTCCATATTACTACATATACAATGCGAGCGCAGGAAGCACGTTTACATTTAAGCGAACGTGTTTAAAGTTTACTTTTTAAAATAACATAAAAAAAATTAATTAGTAATTTAGCTTCTTAGGAACACGAAGAATATTTTGCGATTTTTTTTTATTTTGTGTTACAAAATTATTTAGAAATCAACCGACATCCAAAGTCTTCAATTTTCATATCAACAATAAGTTCCCCTATGTCATTGTGAACCTAAATTATTAAAATAAATAAATAAATAAATAAATAAAACAACCAATAAAACTCAAGCGTAACGAGTACGTTTGGTTTGTTTGAGTTCCACAGACTTTAGTGATCACAAATATTATTTAAACTCACTTTTATAAAACACAATCAAATTTTTGTTGCTGATTTAGCTTCTCAGTGGCACCGATGAAACATTTTTAATACTAACTGAACGTGCTCGCTGCGCTCGCATTCCATATTATTGTTGGTGTTTAGTCTCATCAAAGTGTTTAGGAAGTAATCTCAATCAAGCTTTAGATTTTATTATAATTAGAAATCTCTCGATGTTAGCGAGCGCAGCGAGCTAAGTTTAAATTTTTCTTACAGTCTTTTATAAGGAAGCAATAGCTCCACCCATCAATTCCCTCTTCGCTCCAATGATTGCTGTCAATATAGTTCAACCATTTACCAAAATCAGTCTTAGCTTAACAAATAGTAGCCCCGCCCACCCGCCCTCTCTTTCATAGAGTGTATGTAATTTGCCACAATCAGCCCAACCCGCACTGTTTTCATTCTGACGATTTTATTTCTGTTCAGTACAAGGTCCACCTTTCATTCAGGCTACATAAAATCAGTCACTGAAATGAAGGCGGGGTTGGTGGGCGTTGTTAATTATATGTTCTTTTGTAGAGTGTAGTAGAACGTGGTGTGCTAAAAAAACGGTAATCGTTTTTTTTTTTATTATTTACTATAAAATTAATTTTTTATTTTAGAAGACTAAAAATGAGAAAACGGGTGGGTGGGTGGGGCTAAGTTTAGTTTTTTTTTACGGAGTCTTATAAGCAAGCATTATCTCGGCCCATCCTCCCCCTCCTCATTCCAGTGATTATTCTTAATATTGCTCAGCCATTTACCAAAATCAGTCTTATCTTAACAAATACTAGCCCCGCCCACCCACCCTATCGTTTCTTATAGTGTATGTGATTTGCCACAGTCAGTCTTATCGTAGTAAGATTAGCTCTGCCTAACGACTTTATTTCTGTTGAGTATGAGATTCACCTTTTATACTGGCTAGATAAAATGAATCACTCAAATGAAGGCGGGGTGAGTGGGCGGGGTTAATTATATATTCTTTTGTAGAATGGCATTGGGAACTAATAGAACGTAGGTTTCTAAAAATAAGCGTCAATCGTATTTTTTTTTTGTTACGCTATTTGCTATAAGATTTATTTTTTATTTCAGAAAAAAAATTAGAAGACGGGTGGGTGGGTGGGGCTAAGTTTAACTTTTTCTTATAGAGTTTTTTATAAATAGGTAAGCAATAGCTCCGCCCATCCACCCCCTCTTCATTCCAGTGATTACTCTTCATATTGCTCAGCCATTTACCAAAATCAGTCTTATCTTAACAAATACTAGCTCCGCCCACCCGCCCTACCTTTTCTTATAGTGTATGTGATTTGCCACAGTCAGTCTTTTCGTAGTAAGATTAGCTCCGCCTAACGATTTTATTTCTGTTGAGTATGAGATTGACTTTTCATTCTGGTTAAATGAAATGAATCACTGAAATGAAGGCGGGGTGGGTGGGCGGGGTTAATTAGATGTTCTTTTCTAGAGTGTAGTAGAACATAGTGTGCTAAAAAAACGGTATTCTTTTTTTAATTTACTATAAAATTTATTTTTTATTTTAGAAGACTAAAAATGAGAAAACGGGTGGGTGGGTGGGGCTAAGTTTACTTTTTTCTTACGGAGTCTTATAAGCAAGCATTATCTCCGTCCATCCACCCCCTCTTCATTCCAGTGATTACTCTTAATATTACTCAGCCATTTACCAAAATCAGTCTTATCTTAACAAATACTAGCCCCGCCCACCCGCCCTAACTTTTCTTAGAGTGTATGTGATTTGCCACAGTCAGTCTTATCTTAGTAACATTAGCTCTGCCTAACGATTTTATTTCTGTTGAGTATGAGATTCATTTTTCATTCTGGTTAAACAAAATGAATCATTGAAATAAAAGCTGGGTGGGTGGGCGGGGTTAATTATGTGTTCTTTTGTAGAATGGCAGTGGAAACTAATAGAACGTAGGCTGCTAAAAAGAAGCGGTAGTCGTTTTTTTTTTTGTTATTCTATTTGCTATAAGATTTATTTTTTATTTCAAAAAAAAAAATCAGAAAACGGGTGGGTGGGTGGGGCTAAGTTTAACTTTTTCTTACAGAGACTTTTATAAATAAGCAATAGCTCCGCCCATCCACCCCCTCTCCTTTCCAGTGATTACTCTTAATATTGCTCAGCCATTTACCAAAATCAGTCTTACCTTAACAAATACTAGCCCCGTCCACCCGCCCTCTCTTTCACAGAGTGTATGTAATTTGCCACAGTCTTATCTTACCAAGTACTAGCTCCGCCCAACCCGCACTGTTTTTTATATGACGATTTTATTTCTGTTGAGTTTGTAAGGTCCACCTTTCATTCAGGCTACATTAAATCAGTCACTGAAATGAAGGCGGGGTGGGTGGGCGGGGTTAATTATATGTTTTTTTGTAGAGTGTAGTAGAACGTAGTGTGCTTAAAAAAACGGTAATCGTTATTTTTTTTTATTATTTACTATAAAATTTATTTTTTATTTTAGAAAACTAAAAATGAGAAAACGGGTGGGTGGGTGGGGCTAAGTTTACTTTTTTCTTACGGAGTCTTATAAGCAAGCATTATCTCCGCCCATCCACCCCCTCTTCATTCCAGTGATTATTCTTAATATTGCTCAGCCATTTACCAAAATCAGTCTTATCTTAACAAATACTAGCCCCGCCCAACCGCCCTACCTTTTCTTATAGTGTATGTGATTTGCCACAGTCAGTCTTTTCGTAGTAAGATTAGCTCCGCCTAACGATTTTATTTCTGTTGAGTATGAGATTCATTTTTCATACTGGTTAGATAAAATGAATCACTGAAATGAAGGCGGGGTGGGTGGGCGGGGTCAATTATATGTTCTTTTGTAGAGTGGCAATGGGAACTAATAGAACGTAGTCTGCTAAAAAAAGAAAAAATAGCGGTAATCGTATTTTTTGTTATAATATTTGCTATAAGATTTATTTTTTATTTTAGAACACTAAAAATGAGAGAAAACGGGTGGGTGGGTGGGGCTAAGTTTACTTTTTCTTACAGTCTTATAAGCAAGCATTATCTCCGCCCATCCACCCCCTCTTCATTCCAGTGATTACTCTTAATATTGCTCAGCCATTTACCAAAATCACTCTTATCTTAACTAATACTAGCCCCGCCCACCCGCCCTAACTTTTCTTAGAGTGTATGTGATTTGCCACAGTCAGTCTTATCTTAGTAACATTAGCTCTGCCTAACGATTTTATTTCTGTTGAGTATGAGATTGACTTTTCATTCTGGTTAAACAAAATGAATCATTGAAATAAAGGCTGGGTGGGTACGCGGGGTTAATTATATGTTCCTTTGTAGAATGGCAATGGAAACTAATAGAACGTAGGCTGCTAAAACGAAGCGGCAATCGTATTTTTTTTTTGTTATGCTGTTTGCTATAAGATTTATTTTTTATTTCAGAAAAAAAATCAGAAGACGGCTGGGTGGGTGGGGCTAAGTTTAACTTTTTCTTATAGAGTTTTTTATAAGTAGGTAAGCAATAGCTCCGCCTATCCACCCACTCTTCATTCCAGTGATTACTCTTAACATTACTCAGCCATTTACCAAAATCAGTCTTATCTTAATAAATACTAGCATCCCCCACCCGCCCTATCTTTTCTTAAGGTGTATGTGATTTGACACAGTCAGTCTTATCGTAGGGAGATTATCTCCGCCTAACGATTTTATTTCTGTTGAGTATGAGATTCATTTTTCATTGTGGTTAAACAAAATGAATCATTGAAATAAAGGCTGGGTGCATGGGCGGGGTTAATTTTATGTTCTTTTGTAGAATGGCAATGGAAACTAATAGAACGTAGGCTGATAAAAAGAAGCGGCAATTGTAATTTTTTTTGTTATGCTATTTGCTATAAAGTTTATTTTTTATTTCAGAAAAAAATCAGAAGACGGGTGGGTGGGTGGGGCTAAGTTTAACTTTTTCTTATATAGTTTTTTATAAGTAGGTAAGCAATAGCTCCGCCCACCCACCCACTCTTCATTCCAGTGATTACTCTTAACATTACTCAGCCATTTACCAAAATCAGTTTTATCTTAACAAATACTAGCCCCGCCCACCCGCCCAACCTTTTCTTAAAGTGTATGTGATTTGCCACACTCAGTCTTATCGTAGTAAGATTAGCTCCGCCTAACGATTTTATTTCTGTTGAGTATGAGATTCATTTTTCATTCTGGTTAAACGAAATGAATCATTGAAATAAAGGCTGGGTGCGTGGGCAGGGTTAATTATATGTTCTTTTATAGAATGGCAATGGAAGCTAATAGAACGTAGGCTGCTAAAAAGAAGCGGCAATCGTAATTTTTTTTGTTATTCTATTTGCTATAAGATTTATTTTTTATTTCAGAAAAAAAATCAGAAGACGGGTGGGTGGGTGGGGCTAAGTTTAACTTTTTCTTATAGAGTTTTTTATAAGTAGGTAAGCAATAGCTCCGCCGATCCACCCACTCTTCATTCCAGTGATTACTCTTAATATTGCTTAGCCATTTACCAAAATCAGACTTATGTTGAGAAATATTAGCCCCGCCCACCCACCCTGTCTTTTATTAGAGTGTATGTAATTTGCCACAATCAGTCTTATTTTAGCAAGACTAGCTCCGCCTAACGATTTTATTTCTTTGACTATGAGATTGACTTTTCATTCTGGTTAAATGAAATGAGTCACTGAAATGAAGGCGGGGTGGGTGGGCGGGGTTAATTATATGTTCTTTTGTAGAGTGGCACTAGGAACTAATAGTTAGCTCTAGTAATAACCAACAGATTTAATTCTTGTATAGATAATAATTCAACTTCTTAGGGACACTGATGGCTAATTTTCAATAACACCTGAACGTACTCGCTGTGCTCGCATTCTGATTATTTCCATTTTAAATAATTTAGTTTCATGAAAATGTTTACAATTTAATCGTCACTGATACTCATTTTAGAGGTTTTATTTCAGTAATAAATCACAAGATGGCCTTGTAACACTAAATTACTTAAAAAAACAAACCAAACACTAAAATGCGAGCGCAGCGAGCATCTTCAGTTTGTTTAAGTTCCACAGACATTTGTGTTCACAAACGTTTTTTAAACTCACTTTTATAAATTACAATCATATTTTTAATTTAGCTTCTCGATGGCACCAAGGAATCATTTTTAGTATTAACTGAACATGCTCGCTGCGCTCGTAATCTAAATATTATTTTAATATTTAATCTTATGCGACTGAAATTCCTTAATTTCCCGATTTTTTTTTTTTACCTGTGATGATAAACTATCAAGGTCTGTAATTATTTAATGATTCATTTAAATATTTTTGTATAACTCGCCTAAAAAATATTCACAGCAGATGATGTTGTTATAATAAACAGTTAAAACCTTTAATACCACACATGCTTGTAATAAGCCCCATACCGCGTAAGCCCGGCCCTGTCGGCCACCAGTAAATACATTACGCTGCCACAAAATCGCTTCACCAAGCCAGACCCATCGCCCAATAATCAAATTCCTCACATCACTCCGTTCTCTGCAGGTGGCCTTTTCCGAAGATTTCTCTCCCCGCTCGTCCCAGGAGACCCGCTGGAGCGACCTCCCCCTCGAGCTTCTCTTGCAGGAACACCACTTCAACCGTGGCAAGCTCGTCCTGCGGTGTGTGGCCCAGATCCTCGACGTTTACCACGAAGAGGCCGTCCTCGAGCTAACCAGCGCCCGCAACCCCGTCCCCGAAAAAGGTCAGTCCATCCGATTTTTTCCACAAATGTGCATTCATTTGCGCGGTTCCAGTGAGCGCCCTCGATTCTGCCCCAGCCACATTCTGCCAGCCGGGCCTGCTGGTCGGAGCGCTGTTTTTTATCGGCCGGTTTTAGGCAAAGCGTAATTTTGGTGGTTGCTGGTGTCATGTCGTGGAACCCGGGGGATTCTGACGTTATCGGGCTGAAATTTGGCTTGTCAATCACTGTCGGCCGGTGTCTCAGTTGAGAATAACTCAATTACGGGAAGTGGATTATTTTTCGGGGTTTTAATGTAATAATTAATACTGTGCCTTGTCGGTTTGAGCGGAATTTCTTGCTTCGGGATGAAAATTTTGCTCTGATTTTCTGCGGTTTCATCTTTGACGTTAACGGAATGTGAGGCAGGGTGACACTTGTTTGTTCATGAGAGACAGAATGGAAGGAAAATAAATCTTGTTTGTTTTTTAATTAAACAAAACCTCTATCGTATTTTATTCTCCTAGATCCTCAAATGAGTTTCTGAGGATCTGTTAAATCTCGACGGTTATCTCCGAAGCTATTACTTTTTTTCTCCGAGTCTTGTTTGTGTTAAAGATACCCAAATAATTATTTGATGAGTAAAAGTTCGTGTGGAGAGATTTTATTACTCTATTTTAATTCACTATTTGAATTCTAAAACATTTTTAAAATAATTTCATATTATCGAGATTAATTTCGGACTTCAATGGAGTTCAAATTGATTTAATTAACTGTTAATCTCTTCTCTCATATTATTTAGCGAGAATAACTATGGACTAAAATCTATCCATCAAATAGATGTAGCTCCCTGGTGACATTATGACGTCAGTTAGTTAATTACGTCATTACGTTTAATAGTAGCGCGATTCGACGCAGATTAACTTCTCCGGCTACTGATTCGATCAGGTTGAAAATGAGGTGGTTTTCGTAAAGTATAAAGCTCAGTTCTGCAAATCCTGTTAGTACAGGTTAGGTCAGGTCAGGTCAGGTCAAATCAGGTCAAGTCAGGTCAACTCAGGTCAACTCAGGTCGTTCAAGTCAAGTCAAATCAAGTTTGATATGTGTATGTTTTATGATTTTTTACTGTAAACTGTAAATAATGTAAATTATATACTCTTGGCCTAGGACAATTTTCTTAGCTTCTTCGCGACAAAAATAACGTATCACGCACAAAAAATGCTCAAGCAACCCAAATTTATTTTTTTTTATTTTGAAATCAGGCAAGGGTGACAAATACGGGTTGCCGTCTTTTATTCAGTTGTGCCGAGGTTCATCATATTCTGGTGGCAGCGGTGGGATCAAATTGGCAATCGGTCCGAAATAAAACTGACTAAAAATAAAACGCCATTAAGTAGGTTTATTGAAGAGAGTGCCACCAAGTGGATAGGTCAAATTAGACGTCTCCTTTTTGTTTTGAATTTACATTTTCAGAACAAAAAGAGCAAAAATTAGCTTTTTGTAGTCCATAAGTTGTTCTTGCGGTTAACAGATATGAGGGATGATCACACTGTGGAAACTCACGTTACGTTAATCGAATGATCAAACAAGCGTCTCTACACCAAATTTAAGAAAATATTTTGCGTAAGAATCACTAAAAATGTTTTCTGGTAAAACAACGAAAGTCACTTCGGGGTTTATAATTTAATTTGCTAAATTATTCAAGGGCGTACATAATTTTCGTTTCTGTTTTACATGGCAAAATATTGCAAAATTCATTGTGATTAAAATAAAGCTGATAACAATACGAGCGTCAGACTGATCTCATGAAATAATAAATTTCCGTCTGTTTTCGTCCAACGACACAATCATGTTGCAACACGACAACTATTATTCTAGTAACTATTTTTCAATCAGGCATTAGCCTGTCTGGTTTTTTAATCTACTATTAAACTTGAATGCTCAGCGATTTGGTTCAACTAGCTTTTCACGTAACCGCTTTAAACTGTTTTTGAACGACGCAACTACTCGTAAAACGAACCAAATTTTGGCATTAAACGGACAAACCAAAATACATCCGATCTCTATCCGTCGTCGTAATTATCGCACCACTACATGTATATCTGTTGCTTTTTCCAATAAATGAATGTCAAACACATCCGTCGATTGCCGTGCAGAGGCTTTAAACCTCCTTTGTTGTAAAGCAGTGGGATTTATGACACCAGCAACACAACCCTAGTGTAAGTTTTATGTACTTTTATACAACCAAATCTGTAAATTTTCACGAAATGCTAGACACTTGGAACGGACAATCCACTTCGTGAAGAATTTCCGCTGTACCCACTGTACGTCCGTTTTCAGTTGACAATTGGAAAGTGTTATCTGTGATATAATGATATAATAAAATCGTTATGTTTACACAACCTCTTTCACTTGTTATCCCTGGCCGGTATCCACCCCTTATTTTCGTTTCGTTTCGATTTTATCGTTGGTTTATTTTTAGATAGCTACAAAAACAGACAAATGTGTTTTCACAATATCAATGTTTATAGGTTCCACTCATCCTCGACACAGGAAATGAAACTTGGTTATCTTTCGTTCTGTTTTACTGTCCATTAGACATCTTGAGGGTTGAACGGTTTATTTGAAAATTTCACTAGAAATCGGATTACGACAGCCATTATCCTTTTCCTACCACAATTAACGCCATTACTATTCAATGAAACAAAAGGACGAGGGTTCGACCGGCAATAATGGAGTTGCTGGTCCTAATTTCTCTTTCCTTTTAACAATGACATACACTTTTTACCTGAAACACAAGTTTCTTTGCTGGGTTAAGAAAACTCGCCACGACGGATTATCGAGAATAAGTTCGTTTGCGAAGTTGGAGCCGGGAAAAGGTAAGTCCATAAGTAGCTAATATCGAGAGATATGAGCGCAAAAATAAAAAACACGAAACCTCTCGCTTTCTTACTAAATACTTGTTTAACATTTCTTTTTCTCGACGTTTTAAAGTGTGCTTTCGTTTTCTCGAGACGTCTGCTCTGTTTAATTTCAGTGATTTAATTCTGCAACAATCTCCAAACAAAGCGTTCAAATAAGAACCAAGCTGAGGTAAGTAAACTTCATTATTATAAATTATTTGTAGAATCTCAGGTAAAGATGTTTGGATAACGCAATTCCAACAGTCTGTTAGTGTTACCTTAATTTAATTTGATGTTACTCGTAAATTTCGACGAATGCCGCAGCAAAATAGACATTTTGATATAGTTGTGGGTACACACGTGAGTCCGTAAAACTAATTTGGACAAACGGACTAACAAACAAAAAATAAATTACGTTATTTTGAAAAAACAGTGTTGCATCAAGAGTTATGACGTCACATTATCAAATTATATGTAATTATACAAAGCGGCACAAAAACAAATAAATATCAGGATTTTTTTCTATAAATTTTCTGAGTCTCTAGATATATGTGTTTTACCTTCTCTTAAACAACCCACAACTTATGATACGATATTTTTGTAAAAGTCGTTTTCAGATTTTATGTTGCTTTCTCTAATTCTGTGTATATTTTCTGTGTTATTTTGTATATTTTTGCATCTATTTAAATTTCAACGAAACGTCAACAATCAAAAGCCCGTGGAATTTAAAAGAAGAGCAAACTAGAATTAAAGTTGTTTTAGCATTAAAGCATAACCAAGTAAACACTAGAGAAGATGTTTAAAATTCCTGCATTATGCATATAAGTAAGCTCGTAATGTTTCCAAATTTTGACCATTTTTTGTAAAAATAAGCCAAATTTTGTTTTTCTAGTTTTATGAGTTACCCCACCCACCCACCCCTTCATCATTTCAGTGAAGGCTCTTAATATTGTTCAGTTCTATCTTAGCAAGTTTTAGGCCCGCCCACCCACCCTCTATTTTCTTAGAAGGTATGTATTTTGCCACAATCAGTCTTCTTTTAGCAAAAATTAGCGCCACCCACCCACTCTTAATTTTTTAAAGAGTATGTTATATACGTTAACAAGTACTGCCCCCCCCCTCTATTTTCTTAGATGGTAAGTAATTTGCCACAATCACTCTTATGTTAACAAGTACTAGCTAAGATAAAACTGATTTTGGCTAATGAGATACCCTAAAAAAAGAGAAGGTGGGTGGGCGGGGCCAGCACCTTCTAAGATAACGGTGACTTTGGCAAATGCAACATGTCTTGTGTGTTTTATTCCTGATTTCTTATGAAATCTGACTCTGACACTCTGTATATTAAAGAAATTCCTTGATATATAAATGAATTCATTTCATACTTCACACACTATATAGGCCTCTATGAGATTTTATTATTTAACTCTGTCTTCTTTTACAGATTTTCTTGAGGTACTTTTTTTGTTTCGTCTTAGAAATTTATATTTATTGTTAGTGTTATTTTCAAAGTGATATAATTATTGACCTGATAATAAATTTTTCTTTTTTGCGTATAATTGCATTGCTTGTAATGTTTCCAAATTTCGATCATTTTTTGCAAAAGTAAGATTTTCCCCAGTTTTATGAGCAAACAGTAACCCCGCCCACCCACCCCTTCATTTTTCCAGTGAAGACTCGTAATATTGTTCACTTCTATCTTAGCAAGTTTCAGACCCTTCCACCCACCCTCTATTTTCTTAAAAAGTCTGTAGTTTGCCACAATCGGTCCTATCTTAGTAAGTACTAGCTAAGATAAAATTGATTTTGGCAAATGAGATATCCTCAAAAAAAGAGAGGGTGGGTGGGCGGGGCTAGTATCTGCGATGATAAGACTGATTTTGGCAGACCAGATACCCTACACGAAAAGACAGGGTGGTTGGGCTGGGCCAGTACCTGCTAAGATAACACTGACTTTGGCAAATATACACCAAATTTGCTTTTACAATATGTCTTGTGTATTTTCTTTCTGATTTTTTATAAAATCTGACTCTGACACTCTGAATATTAAAGAAATTTCTTGATATATAAATGAATTCATTTCATACTTTGCACACTAAATAGGCCTCTATGAAATTTTATTATTTAATTCTGTCTTCCTTTACTGATTTTCTTGAGGTACTTTTTTTTCTTTTTAGAAATTTATATATATTTTTAGTTATTTTCATTAAATGATATAATTATTGCCCTGATATTAAATCTTTCTTTTCTGCATTTATTTAATGTTTCCAAATTTTGATCATTTTTTGTGAAAGTAAACCAAATTTGGCTTTTTTTCTAGTTTTATGAGCAAAGAGTAACAACGCCCACCCGCCCCTTCATCATTCCAGTGACGACTCTTAATATTGTTCAGTTCTATCTTAGCAAGTTTTGGCCCCGCCCCCCATTTTCTTAGAAGGTATGTGATTTGCCACAATCAGTTTTGTCTTAGCAAGTACTAGCTAAGATAAAACTGATTTTGGCAAATGAAATACCTTCAAAAAAGAGAGGGTGAGTGGGCGGGGCTAGTAGCTGCTATGATAAGACTGATTTTGGCAAATGAGATACCTTTTGCGAAGAGACAGGGCGGGTGGGCGGAGCCAGTGCCTGCTAAAATAACACAGATTTTGGCAAATGCACAACAAATTTGCTTTTACAATATGTCTTGTGTATTTGATTCCTGATTTCTTATCAAATCTAACTCTGACACCCTGTATATTAAATAAATTTCTTGATACATACATAAATGAATTTATCTTATACTTCGCACACTAAATAGGCCTCTATGAGATTTTATTATTTAATTCTGTTTTCAGTCCAAATTTCGATCATTTTTTGTAAAAGTAAGCCAAATTTAGCGTTTTTTCTAGTTTTATGAGTAAACAGTAATACCGCCCGCCCACCCCTTCATCATTCAAGAGACGACTCTTAACATTGTTCAGTTCTATCTTAGCAAGTTTTAGCCCCGCCCACCCGCCCTCTATTTTCTTGGAAGGAATGTGATTTACCACAATCAGTCTTACCTTAACAAATACCAGCTAAGATAAAACTGATTTTGGCAAATGAAATACCCTCAAAAAAAAGAGAGGGTGGGTGGGCGGGCCTACTAGCTGCTATGATAAGACTGATTCTGGCAAATGAGATACCTTTTACGAAGAGACAGGGTGGGTGGGCGGAGCCAGTGCCTGCTTAGATAACACAGATTTTGGCAAATGCGCAACAAATTTGCTTTTACAATATGTCTTGTGTATCTGATTCCTGATTTCTTATGAAATCTAACTCTGACCATGGCCGACTAGTATAAAGATTATGGCCTGTCCAAAGGAATGCCAAAGGTACCATACGTGCTGCCATCTATTAATAATTCAAAAACGACAAAAGAATTATTAACACTTTTTGAAAGGCACAAAGGCATTCATACCGAAACAAACCACCATTACACGTTTTGAAGTCCCATAATGTCAAGTCAAATTAAAATTTTGCTAAATTATTAAGTGTAATTATTAATAGATGGCAACACGTATCGTACCTCTTGGACAGGCCATAATCTTTATACTAGTCGGCCATGCTCTGACACCCTGTATATTAAAGAAATTTCTTGATACATGCATAAGTGAATTCATTTTATACCTCGCACACTAAATAGGCCTCTATGAGATTTTATTATTTAATTCTGTGTTCTGTCCAAATTTTGATCATTTTTTGTAAAAGTAAGCCAAACTTAACTTTTTTCTAGTTTTATGAGGAAACAGTAACCCCGCCCGCCCACCCCTTCATCATTCGAAAGACGACTCTTATCATTGTTCACTTCTATCTTAGCAAGTTTTAGCCCCGCCCACCCACCCTCTGTTTTCTTAGAAGGTATGTAGTTTGCCACAATCAGTCTTATCGTAGCAAGTACTAGCTAAGATAAAATTCATTTTGGTAAATGAAATACCCTCAAAAAAAAAGAAAGGGTGGGTGGGCGGGGCTACTAGCTGCTATGATAAGACTGATTCTGGGAAATGAGATATCTTTTACGAAGAGACAGGGCGGATGGGCGGAGCCAGTGCCTGCTAACATAACACAGATTTTGGTAAATGCGCAACAAATTTGCTTTTGTAATATGTCTTGTGTATTTGATTCCTGATTTCTTATGAAATCTAACTCTGACACCCTGTATATTAAAGAAATTTCTTGATACATACATAAATGAATTCACCTTATACTTCGCACACTAAATAGGCCCCCATGAGATTTTATTATTTAATTCTGTTTTCTGTCCAAATTTTGATTATTTTTTGTTAAAGTAAGCCAAATTTAGCGTTTTTTCTAGTTTTATGAGTAAACAGTAACCCCGCCCACCCACCCCTTCATCATTTCAGTGACGACTCTTAATATTGTTCAGTTCTATCTTAGCAAGTTTTAGCCCCGCCCACCCTCCCTCTATGTTCTTAGAAGGTATGTGATTTGCCACAGTCAGTCTTATCTTAGCAAGT